TATTTTAAAACTTGTATATATATATATATATATATGCATATATATGATATATTATATATATACATTCATACATATATATATATATATATTAATTTATAATATATATATATATGCATATATTTATATGTATATGTATACATATATGTATGTATATATATATATATATGCTATTTATATATATATATATATACATATATGTATATGTATAAATATTTTATTTATATATATTATATTATAATCTATATATATATATATATATACTTTATTTTTTATTTTTTTATCATATATATATTGTTATACTATTATATTATTATATACTAATGTATTTATTTATTTTATCTGTATATATCTATATATATATATATGTATGTATGAATGTATGTATACATACATACATATATACATAGATATATCTATATATGTATGTATGTATATAAATATATCTATAAACCATATTATGTTCCTGGGTAATTAACAGAAGGGTGCCAAAGTGGGGCAAATGCCAGATGTGAGCACAACAGCTGGCTGTCAAGACAAAGTTGGGTCTGTACATTGGTCATAGTCATTAGGTTGGCCTAAAAGTTTGGCATACGGCTCAGGTTGGTCTAAAAGTGTAGCATACGACTCAGGTTGGTGTAAAAGTTGGGTTTCACGACAGGGGTGAGGTTAAAAGCTTGTTTTAGATTCAGCTGGGCGAAACGGTTGGTATAGTTACAATGGTGGGTCTAAAGGTTGGGCATATCTAGGCCAGAAGTTGTCATAGCATAGAAGTCTGTCACACAGCGACCAGAAGTTCAAACAGACATTATGCATGATGGAAAGAGATGAAATAGTAAATACTCAAGTCTCAATCTAACCTCACTACGTGTCACGTTAAAACGCAAAAAAAAAGTGTTTACGTTCAAAGTTTATCCTAAATAAATATAGTCCTATGTAAAATAGGTATTTATTTGAGGCGGCATAACTGCCACGAATTGTCCTACTCTTCCCTTTGTGTCAGTTGTGAACAGTTTCAAATCACCTTTTCATTCAAAAAAAGGTCAATTTCTCAGGTGCAAATTTGGAAAATTTTCATGGTCGATTTGCCCACGATATACTTTTCAAAAACGCTTGAAAAGCAAAACTTTTTTCGTTTACGTTGAGAGTTTATTACATACAGGCAAACGTATTGAGCTTAAGTCTCAATGCGTATGCAAAATAAAAAAGAGTCCGAAGCACGACTCCATTAAAATGAGTATAGAGTAGAAGAACTCCGGAGCCAAGGAACAGATTTGTTTTGTATTTAGTAATTTTATAGACAAATAGTCGCAACTTTAAAAACTTGCAGTCTCTAGTCTCTACAACCACAAGAGAGACACAACAGTCATGACCCGTGAGTCATCACAATCACACTTTTCCAGACTCAAAATTTTGGATTTTTGTGGTTCTTCTTTTTTTTCTGTAAAGAAGCAAAAAAAAACAAATTGTTTTTTTTTTGTAAACAAAGAATAAGGTCCCTCGAATTTCCCAAAGTTCGGTCCTTATTCTCCAAATCTAAAAATCGGCCCAAAAAAATGATATTCACGGTTTTGGCGCCAAAAAAATTAAAAATTTCCAAATTCGGTAGTAGTAGCTTTATTCTCAGGTTTACGATATAAGCAGTCTTTAGTCCTCTTCATCCTTGTGTTCCTTATGTTCTTAGTGAAAGTCTGAACTCTAACGCTGGACGTGGACTGCTTTTATAGTCCGCCGGGATATATCTTTATGTATTCCCGAACGAACTTGTACTACTAACATCCTAGGCTATTAACTATAACTATAACACTCGTAGTGAGAGGGAAAGGCACGGGCCTAGAAAACCCTCTGCTACGATGTTCTCGAACTTTCTCATGGCGTCATCGTCTATGTATATTCGTAGACACTTTGCTCTGTTCGTGAATATACATAGACAAGTTTAGTATGACCTATGTAGAATGGCACTCAAAAATCATCAGAGCCTGGATATATACGATTAACCCTGGCTTGGGCCCTGAAATAAAACCCCAATATTAATTTCCGGAATCATGGCTCATCATTCGGGACCCACCAAAATTCAGGGTACCGAAGAGTCTCGAAATTTCATTAGGATTACCGAAACTCCTACACGCCCGCCAGCCTAAGGGTGTGCCGGTGCTAAGCGCTTCTGGCGTCCATTGTTCTCACCATTGACGAACTGACGGGATCCCCTTAATTTATAACTTAAACCGGTCCCAGGACTGAAATTTCTTCATAAAGTCCTCCTTAACATCTTCCGGGTCCAAATCCTTCCAAGTCTCAGGGCGATATTTCTGCAGTGTGGTCAAGAATTGCGACGAATACTTGAACCACACTTCCCCAGTCTTCGTTTGGATATATCGTTCGAGCCGTTCAGCAATAGCCTGGAATCATTCAAATATGTACAAGTACTCCTTCAAGGTAACTAGAACTTACACTGGGTCCGACCTGTCTTCTTGGCTGCCGACGGCTAGCTTGTGCTGTTCACGATGGGCTCTCACAGTCTCGACACTTCCACACAAGGATACCAACCTCGAGCGGCTCAAGCTCGGTTGCAGTAGCTGTGGCATTTGCAATACTTTTCGCTTGTGCCTTCAGCAAATTCTTGCGCGCCAAATCCAAACTTTTCCATGAAGTCCAATCTTGACCCTGCATCACTAGTTCAATTGGCGAGTATTCCAATCCCGCATGAACTGTTCGGTTATATGCAAGTATCATCTCCCATATGTCCTTCGCCGTACCAGAGGCTACACTCTTATTCAACCACAGGGAACGACCGAAACTTCACTTACCGATTCAATGGCACCAAATTTGCACAAAAACGCCATGTGCCAGGCTCCTTCTTAGGGTCTACCAGCGGCTGCAGGTTCCAATCCGTCTTCCGGATACACTCCTCAATGACGTGTTCCTTAAGCATACATTGAACCTCAGTCCTGATGGCCTTTCGCTTCTGGGGATTCGTTTCCTCATAGTATATGTAAACCGGGCTAGCACAATCTTGTAATAAGATCTCATTCTCAGCCCCCGTGATGGTAGACTCTTCGGCATCTACCCATGCATCCTCCTATATCAAATCTTGGACTGCCGCAGTCACTGACGCTTCTTAACTGTAGTGTCATTAGTAGATTGTATTCTTGTGCACAGACTTCAAGTGCTGTGTAGCCTTTCCTTTTTAATAAGGCTATATTGTGTTTTTCTCGCAAGCAAGGATATACACCGTTATAAATACGTTGGACCTTCTCTAATCATAGTAACTCATGGTGATCGGGTTCGTCCTTGTTAAAGGGGATTTTTAACTCACTTTATCTGCCACGAGTGGGGGCCTATAAAGACCACGTATGGCCACTTTCAACCCCAAGACAAGGGTAGACAAAGCGAAGATGGATCCAAGTTTTTACAACGAACAGACACTAATTGAGGGCGATATCAAAGGGTGGTTCGACAAAATCAGTCACTCCTGATTGGAAAAACATCTACCCATGCCCGAAGGCTACGAAAACCTACTCACCGCCATGCTGAAGGCCCCGAAAATAGAGATCGGGTGTAGTTCCTGTAACCGATTCAGCACACTCGTTCATCTGTGTTTGTACCCACTTAAGGTGGTACGGCCAATCATCTACATCGTCCGTTAATTCAGTACGCAAGAAGAACTTAAGTCTTCTATGGCGCGTTTCATTCGCGCCTTGCGTTTGCGGCTTATATGGCACACTTCTCTTATGGCATATGCCTGATACGAGTACTAGCGATTCCATAACGGCATCGCAGAACTCGCTACCGTTATCAGTGCACATAATACCCGGCCACCCGTGGTCAGCAAAGACTTGGCAGCAAAATTATGCCACGGTCTGCGTATTCTTATCCTTTAATGGATACAGCACGTTAAACCGTGACACCACATCAAAGAAGTGGCATACGTAAAGGTCGCCTGTGTGCTCGGACGTTGGCAGGTCAACCATATCAATGATGA